GGGGGGCCGCCGCAACCCCGCACGTTCGCCCCTCTCCCCACAGTGGGCTTCACACACTCGGTTCCAATACATCTCCGCTGTGCACATGTGACACGCATACAAACACACACACACACACACACACATAGCCAGCCCGGCGTTTTCAAAGGTATATGTGCCTGTGTGGGCGAGAGATACATGTCCCGATGAGGGGAGGACAGACATGAGTGCGGATGTGTGTGTGTGCGATTCACGCGGTCCTGTTTAGGCCGGGATTTTCCTCCCCACCACTCAAATGTGTGTGCGTGTGTGGAGATGCAGATGCAGGGGCTGCCTCGGCGGAGCGGGGAGTCCTTGCACCCCTGCACCAAGATGCCGGCGGCGGGGCGAGGAACAGGACAATCGGAGAGGAGCAAGACAGACGCCGGCTCCCTCCTCGGGGCTTTATCGGAGGGCGCCCGAGACATATTAATTGTGTCCATTCTGTTGGAGTAGAACGTGGTTAATTCAGATCCCCGCTGTGACCATGTGTGCCCCCGTCGGGTGGTCAAGACAGCGACACAGCCAACAAGGCGGGACCGGCGCACGGGAGGAGGTCCCTCCGGGGGGGGGGGGGGGGGGGGGGGGGGGGGGGGGGGGGGGGCAGGCAGGGGGGGGGGGGGGGGGCCCGGCGGGGGGGGGGGGGACAAACAGACGGGCATCGGGGAGGGTGCCAACGTGGGCGCACAGGCGGTGGCAGGAACGGCCAGCCGGCGCGTGGCTCCCAGGCCCCAGGCCCTTGTACCCCCTTTTCGTGCGCTCCGGGCCGGCACACGTTGTCCGGCTCTCGCATCCATCGGAACCTAGATCCCGGGCAAACAGCTGTGACTGGCCGGCAGGCGCGCGTGCTCGCGAGTCCCTCGGGGCAAACCCGATCGCACCCAACATTGACCCGGAGCCCGGGGCTGGGGCCCCATTGGCGGGCCCAGGCCTGGCATGCGGTTCCGCGCGCCGCCGCGCCCACACAGAGACGCGTGCGCACATGCCCGCGCGGCCCGAGGCCCCAGCCCCGGGCGTTCCCCAGCGAGACAGATCTGCACCTGCGGCCAGGACGACAGCCCGCAAGCAGGGTTGTTCAACGGGGAGGAGGGGGGGGGGGGGGGGACGGGGCCGAGGTGCGGCGTCACTCCAGTTGGTCACTCGGGGGGAAGACCGCCCTCAAGGGAGCACGGGCCCGCCGCGCTTCCTCGTTCTCGGTCCCCGCCCAGGCCCAGACTGCCCTTGTGCCGGGGAGGGCGTCCCGACTTTGAGTGGGGAAGAAGGACAGCCTGGGGGGGGGGGGGGGGCCGCGCAGGGCTCCTGCCGAACACGTCTGAGTGGGCACCCGCGAGCCTTTTCCCGCACCGCCTTGGCCTGGCAGGGCTATCCGCTGCGTCGGCCTCCGCTGCTGCTGCTGCTGCCTCCTGTCCCCTCTTTCCCCCCCCCCCCTACTCGTTGACCTCTTCCGCCCTCCCGTCACTCCTCCCCTCCTCTCCCGCACGTCAGCTCCCTCCCCTTTCTCCCCCTCTCCCGCCTCCGACACACCACCACCGCCATGCTTCGCCAGGCTGGTTTCCGTTGCACCGCCTCCCTGAACGGCATGCTGGCCGCCCGCTCGGCCGGCGCCGGTCCCGCCCGCCAGATGTCCCACCTGGCCCGGCGGTCGGCTGTCGCCTGCACCGGGTCCCAGACCGCCTCGCTTCTGGCCCTGGCTCGTGCTGGCCCCGTCCCGCGCCCTGGGTCCGCTCCCCAGTGCGTCGCCTCCCTGCATGTCCCTTTGGCTTGTCGCCGGGCGGCCCGCATCTAACTCGGGGCATTCCGGTTTCTTTTTCTCCGCCCCCCCCCTCCCCCCCATCCCCCTCCGGCCGTTCCGGGATGAGCAGGCTCCCCGCTCATCAGCCCCTGCGGTTCTTCTCGCTTTCGACCGCCACCGGGATGAGCGCGCAGCCGGCCGGTGCCACCGGCTCCGGCAGCCTCACCCCCGAGCAGATCGTCAAGAACACCCGCAATGTGGCCATCATTGCTCACGTCGATCACGGCAAGACCACCCTGGTGGATACGCTGCTGAAGTCCTGCAATGAGGAGCTTTCCGGCGTGGATCGCGTGATGGACTCGGACCCGCAGGAGCGCGAGCGCGGCATCACCATTATGGCCTCGGCCACCTCGGTGTCCTACGGGGATTACAACCTGAACATCGTCGACACGCCGGGTCACGCGGACTTTGGCGGTGAGGTGGAGCGTGTCCTGGGCATGGTGGACGCCGTGGTGCTGGTGGTCGATGCCACCGAGGGCCCGATGACCCAGACCAAGGCCGTCCTGGCGAAGGCCCTGCAGAACCGCAAGCGGGCCGTGGTCATCCTCAACAAGGTGGACCGCGAGTCGGCCCGACTTGGGGCCGTGGAGAACGAGGTGTTCGACCTGTTCTGCTCGCTCGGCGCCGATGATGACCAGCTGTCCTTCCCGATTCTCTACACCTCCGGCCGTGATGGCTGGGCCGTCGACAACCCGGATGACATTCCCCTGATCAAGTCCGGCAAGAAGACCGCCGACATGCGCCTGCTTCTGGACGCCATCATCGAGGTGACCCCGTCCCCCGAGCCGGAGGCCCTGGCCAGCCCCTTCTCCATGGCTGTGACCATGATTCACCGCGAGCCCTTCCTCGGCCGCGTGGCCACCGGCCGCATTGCCACCGGCTCGGTCAAGGTCGGCGACCCGCTGCACGTCCTGCTGCCGAAGACCGCCAACGACAGCACCCCCACCGACTCCGGCCGTGTGACCAAGGTGCGCCCATGCATTTGCTCCGGGCCTTTCACCCCATCCGCCGATGAAGGGGCTCGGGAAAATGTCGCCCGCCCTTTGGCGGTTCCCCGCTCTTCCACGAGCCTGTGTTTGTCACTGCCCAGATTCTAACGCAAGCCTACAACCCTCACGCACACACACACACACACACACACACACACACACACACACACAACGCAACACATGCCATCCACCAATCGCGAATGATCCGGGGTAAAAAACAACACCACCACCACACAGCTCCTCAAGCGCCGTGGTGTTGATCGCCTCGAGATCGAGGAGGCTCACGCCGGCGATATTGTCATGATCTGCGGTCTGTCCAAGCCGCTGGTCACCAACACCGTGGCCTCGCCGTCGGTCACCGTGCCCCTGGACGTCATCCCCATCGACCCGCCCACCGTGTCCATGATGTTCTCCCCGAATGACTCTCCCTTCAACGGCCGCGAGGGCAAGAGCATCACCTCGGCCCAGCTGCTGGAGCGCCTGCAGCATGAGATGGAGCACAATGTGTCCATCCGTGTTGGCCCGCATCCCACGCGGTCGGACTCCTTCGAGGTCCAGGGCCGTGGCGAGATGCAGCTCGGTGTGCTGATTGAGAACATGCGCCGCGAGGGCATGGAGTTCTCGGTTTCCCCGCCGACCGTCGTCTACCACAATGACGAGAACGGCCGCCAGGAGCCCATGGAGGAGGTGGTCATCGAGGTGGACGAGCAGTACACCGGCATTGTCATTGAGAAGGTGCGTGTCGATCCCGGCCACTCGCTCCCCCTCGTCCGACAGTTCATTGTCCGCTCTGTTGTTTTTTTTTCCCCCTGCCTCCGCAGCTCGAGACGCCGCGAGGCCAGCGGCATTGCCCCCTGCTTCCTTTGTCTGGCGGGATCTTTCCCCCATCACCACCCCTGCCACCATATCCACCTTGCTGACTGACCGGTGATCGGCCCCCCTCCCCCTTTTGCAGCTTTCCATCCGCAAGGGCGAGATGCTGGACATGTCGCAGGAGCTCGGCAACAAGACCAAGCTCACCTTCCGCGTGCCCTCTCGTGGTCTGATCGGCTACCGGCCCATTTTCATGGTGGACACCCATGGCACCGGCATCATGAACCGTGCCTTCACCGAGTATGTCCCGTACCGCGGCCAGTTCGAGCGCGTGCGCAAGGGTGTCATCGTGTCCATGGACACCGGTGTGTCGACCGCCTTCGCGCTGAACTCCATCGAGGCCCGTGGCCAGCTGTTCATCGGCGCCAACGTCGATGTCTATCCGTACGTGCCCTTGCCTGTATCGGCTTCTCCCCCCTCCCCCCCCCCCCCCCTTGCCCTGGGGGGAGAGGCCGTTGAATGTCCGGTCCTGCCATGTATCATTGATCCTGCCGACTCCCGTGCCAGCGGGGGAAGGGCCACCGCCATACGGAGCTGACTAACATATCCCCTTTGTTTGCTTGCCTGCTTGTCATCATCCTGCCCCGCGCGCAGTGGCATGGTCATTGGCGAGCACAGCCGTGACAACGATCTCGACGTCAACCCCATTCGCGCCAAGAAGGTCACCAACATTCGGACCACCGCGGCTGACGAGCAGATTCGCCTGACCCCCCCGCGGCAGATGTCCCTGGAGGAGGCCCTTGGCTACATCAACCCCGACGAGTTGGTTGAGGTTACCCCGAAGAATGTGCGCATTCGCAAGCAGATCCTCGACGCTGGCAAGCGCCGCACCAACGCCAAGGTCATGGTCTAAGAGCACCAGCATCACCATGATCGCCGAAAAGGCCATCAGGGTGCACCACCCCTCTGTCGATGTCCTGCAAAATGGGGCTTGCCAGGAGTGAGCAACAGGGCAAGGGCTGCCATCGGGTGGGGGGGGGGGGGGGGGGGCGCGCGCGCCGTACACACGGAGGCCCGGGGGGGCGCCACACACATTGACTGCCTTCTTTTCCTTGCCGAGTGTGTCCCCCCCCCCTCCCCCTATGCGTCCCAGTGCCGGCCGTGTATGGGTGGTCGTCCTTTCGGCGAGCGTGCGCCCCCCATCCCCCCCCTCCCTCCCGCATGCGCAGACACGCGCCCCCTCTCACCCCGCGGAGGCCAATGCAATTTCCCAAACACCCAGCATTCTCCTTTGCGCATTTATCCCGGCATGGGGGGCGTGGGGCACATGTGTTGTGTGTATGTGTGTGTGTGAGGAGGAAAGCAGGGGAGATGGCATGACTCAGGGACAAATGCGCAAAAGGGAGGCACAGGGCAATGCACAAGAAGGGAGGAGAAGAGGAGGGGATCTACGTTGGATTATGGTACAGGGAAAGGGCGGAGGCATCCTACTGGAGCTCCAGGGGCAGGGTATCCGCGGCCTTGATCTGGGCAATGGCGCCCTGGGCGGCGTCAACGCGCAACCGCAGCAGCCGCAGTCGCGCGCTCAGCTCATTGTCCTGTTGCTGCGGGCGCCGATGCGTCGAAGAGACACGGCCAGAGTGGGAGACAGAGAGCAGGGGGGCGGGGCATGGTCGTCAGTGGCAGGGAGGAGGGAAGTAGGAGCTGGAGGGAACAGGAAGACCGCGCAAAAGCCGCAGGGGGAGGGTCAGAGAAACGCACGCGCTGGGAGGAGGCGGCATGAGCAAAGAAGATGAGCCCAGCCGCGACGAAGCCGCTGGTGAAGTTCCGAAGCAGCATGCCGAGTAAAGAGAGAGGGGGGGGGGGGGGAGGGGGGGAGAAGACGGTGCGGGAACACTAGTCGGCCTTGCGATTCCTCAGGCGTCGGCCACGAAGGAACGGGGGGTAGGAGATGACGTGGTAGAAGATCAGAGGGGAAAAGCCGCCGAGAACAAACTTCACGAAGGAGGGAAACCGCATCTGTGCGATCGCTCTCTAAGTGAGGCGGAGGGCAGGAACGGGGGGGGGGTGGGGGGGGGGGCACAGGTGCAGGATGTCGCGAGATTCACCCCACCGCCAGGCGGGGAGGGGGCCTTTGGGATCAGTCCTGATGTTGCCCGCATCACGCACCACAAGGGCGAGAGGAGTTCGGGTTCCCTCCCCGCACACGGGTACACACACACACACACGCACACACACACACACACACCCGTACACACTCGAGCACGTAGGCACGACGGAAAACCCTGCAAACATGCTTCTCGCCGGATTCGGGAGGACGCGAATTCGGCCGCGCCCCGGGCGGTGTGACTTCCCACGGCGGGCATGTGACCCGCGGTGCTGGGCGCGTGAGTGCCGACGGCCTCCCTTGCTTTCAGGGCCGGGCAGGGCACACGGCGGCGGTGGGCTTAATTGACCTGGCGCGCTCTGGGGCCTGACAGATGGTGTTGCATCGGGCATGCTCGCCGCCCTGGGGGTGATGGCGTTGGCCCCCCTCCGCTCGGGCGTCCCCTCACAATGCAAGGCGGGCCGTTATGTGTGCCCGAGTCTCAGAGGCGGAGCTGTCCCCGCAGTGCCTTTGGATAGGGGCGGCCGAACAACCAACAAAGGAGTCCGGCGGGCGGCAGGGCCGCGCCTCAAGCCACGCAGGCACATCGGCGGAACTGCCGACGCTTCGCCAGGATGTTCCTGCGCCCCATTGTCAATCCCGCGTCGGCTGCAACGCGGCCGGGGGGCGGCGGCCACGGCTCTGTGTCTGGGCGAGGGGGGCGGGG